CTTGTGTTTCTCTTTTATGTTTCTCTCGTCCCTGTGTTTCTCTCGTCCCTGTGTATCTCTCATCCCTGTGTTTCTCTCGTCCCTGTGTTTCTCTCGTCCCTGTGTTTCTCTAGTCTCTTGTTTTTCGCTCTTGTGTTTCTCTTTTATGTTTCTCTCGTCCCTGTGTTTCTCTCGTCCCTGTGTATCTCTCATCCCTGTGTTTCTCTCGTCCCTGTGTTTCTCTCTTGTGTTTCTCTAGTCTCTTGTTTTTCGCTCTTGTGTTTCTCTTTTATGTTTCTCTCGTCCCTGTGTTTCTCTCGTCTCTATGTTTTTCTCATCTCTTTGTTTCTCTCGTCCTTTTGTTCCTCCGTCTCTCAGTGTCTCTCATACGCGTTTTTCTGATCTCTGTGTTCTTTAAATGTTCTCTCGTCTCTCTTTTTCTCTTCCCTTTTAGCATCTTTTGTCCCTGTGTTTCTCTCGTCTCGTTGTGTTTTTGTTTGTACCTACACAATGTTAACCGTGACATTTCTTGTGTGGACAGGCAAACTGTGCCCGTGTCTTTGGCGGATCTGGCTGGACAGCCGGACAGTTGTCGTTCGTCTTATGACAACCTGGTACTTCCGTCGTACGAGGATGCAGGTGAGTCTTGAACTTCCGGCCACAGGTGGATAATCTTACTTGCCATTTTATTATTGTTGTTGTTGTTGGTGGTGGTGGTGGTGGTGGTGATAGAGTGTGTGTGTGTGTGTGTGTGTGTGTGTGTGTGTGTGTTTGTATGTGTGGGTGTGTGTGTGTGTAAGTGTGTGTGTAAGTGTGTGTGAATGTGTGTGTGTGTGTGTATGTGCATGAGAAACAAAGAGAGAGCGAGGGGGGGGACTGATTTTTCTAAATTTTGGTTTACTTTTCAACAATGTATTTTGTAGTAAAAGCATTTTATGTGGCAACCTCGGGCTAAAGATAGTGTGTTGTTTTTTTTTACTTCAGGGCAATATTGACAGTGTGTATGTGTAGTAGTGCGAGCGTATGTCTACAGGTGTATAAACATATATATATTATATATATACACATATGTGTAGGCGTGGGTTTATTAAATGTGTATGTGTATATGTGTATGTGTATATGTGTGTGTAAACAAGTGTATTTGTGTGTGTGTTTGTATGTGTGTGCGTGTGTGTATGTGAGTGTGTGAGTGAGTGTGAGTGTGTGTGTGCATTTAGTCTGTACGCTGACAAACTTTATACCGTAATACTACCAACACCCCCACACCCGAAGGCTAATGTCGCATTGGTCTGCTTCAGTGAAGGAGCCTCCCCACCTGAGCACGAGACACAGACCCCAAGCGGGACCTCCGAGCGGGTCGGCGAGACAGGGTGTGGACCCCCGTCAACTTGCTGCACAGCTGGAGGGGATTCGCGAGGCTGGCTCGCCTGCTGAGAACTCGCCTAGCTCCTCCCACCCCGATGTAGCCACGCCCTCTGTGTCCTCGCCCTGTAGTACGCCTAGGTCGGACCCGACTAGCACCTCCTCTGATAGACAGCAGAGGCCGCCTTCTGCCTCCTCCCACGCCCCCGGAGGTGCGGACAGAGGAGATAGGGTGAGATTATTGTGTGGTGTTTTTGATGATGATGATGATGATGATGATGATGATGATGATGATGATGATGATGATGATGATGATGATGATGATGATGATGATGATGATGACGAT